TCGTAAATATTAAAAATATTTTTTTCACAGTGTATATAATATATAATTATATAATTAACTCAAAAACTATTCAATATTGGACTTATTTCGAAGGTATTAACGAGACAATTATAATGATGTAACTTTTTAAAATAAAAAAGTATTTTTTAAATATGTTTTAGTTGATATACGATTATGTATGTTAATTTAATAAAGGTGCAAAATGAAAAATTTAAAAGTAAAAAGTGTAAAGTAAATTAATTAAATAATTACAGGGATATGAAGTGTAATTTAAAATTATAATATTAAACAAATTGATTGAATGTGAGAGGGGTTGAATGTGAGAGGGAGGGGGTGAATAAGTGACGTAAGGGATGGGGATATCAACCCCCTTAAAATAAGAGTAAACTATTTTTGTATGAAAAGTGTTAGTTCAAACTACAATTTTGGTCCCTAAAGTTTTAAAAGTGGAACCTAAATTTTAATAACTTGAGTTTTTCATCTTTCAAGTATGTATTTTGTTCTGAAAGTGGAAACTGACCACTAACTCTATGTAGTTTCTCCGAGATAAAAGTTCAATCTTGTTTTAAATCACACTTTCAAATAAACTGAATTCAAGAACCAAATCCACAATTTACTCTTACTATTAAATAAATAAATAAAAATGTTGTATTTTTTAAAGTAGGGCCTAAGCATGGTTGGACAATTTTACCCTTAGCTCTAACGGAGAAATTAGACGGAGTTAGTGGTTAGGTCTCACTTTCTGAGCAAAATGCATACCTGAAGGATTAAAACTCGACTAAGTCTCACTTTCAAAGATTTCACTAAACCTCATGGACCAAAATTGTAGTTTACTCAAATTGTTATTTTTATCTTGTGTTTTCAAAATTACATTTTTTATTTTTGTAATTTATAATTCATTGTTGTTCTTCTTACTGTGGTTTATAATTTATCGTTGTTTTTATTTATTTGGTTTATAATTCATTGTTGTTTTTGTCTCTCATGTTTAACTAAACCACTGACGGAGTTGGTTTCAGAAACGGGAAAAAAAACAATAAATTGTAAACTACATAAACGAAGACCATAATTTCAAAAGCACGATGATGAAAGTTGTAATTTCTTAACAAACTACAGGGATGATGTAACACTCAAAAATTCGTAAGTTCAATATTATATATATTTCTCGGTCTTTTAAATTTATAGCATTTTAGTTAAATTGTAGAGGTTTCATTAATTCTGTTATGGAATTTTGGGTGGATTGGAAAATGTGGACTTTTAGATGGAAATGAAAGAAGGTAATAGTAGGTTACACGACTTTTGACGTGGCTTGAGCCGCATGGCTGGTTCTGTAACTCACGAAGTTTTAGGCACGGATGACTTTCGTCTCACGAGAATCATCTGACGGGTTTTATTTCCTATTTTTTCTTTTGGTAGCCAAAGTTGGAAAGGGATTATGGAGTTTGGGTGCCATCTTTGTTTAGATTTCAAACAAAAAGGTTAGAAGCTAAGAAAGCTAAGAAGAATTAGAAGACCTTGAAGAAAAATGGGTTTTTGATAATTTTGAATTGAAAAAGAGAAATTAGACCAGAAAGGGAAGTTTAGTTCACAAAATGAAATTTGGTGGAATTGAAATTCATCAGGGGATTTTACTTTCAAGGAATTGGAATGAAATTTTATGGCATTTGACCACACGTTAAGATAATAGGAATTGGAATGGAATCTCGCAAAACAATAGAAATATGCATCTAGAGGTGGGAGGTGTGCTCGTCGGTTTATTCAACCTTAGATTTCAACACAAAAATAGAACTCGGCGCAAGTATACACCTTGAACTACTGTCGTCTCGTAACAAGTAATAATGGTATAAGTACCAGATATCGTTCCCATAGAGATAGCTTGTAAAGTTATATCAAAAGTCCAGTTTATAAAAACTAGTTTTAGATGGCGAAACGAGGGATTTGATTTATCTAAAATTGGGTGGTTTGATTAACAACTAAGGAAAATATCAATCTTAAAAAGAAGCACAGGGTGCAACAGTTGATTAAGACATTTAAACAAATGATTCAGCAAAAAGGTGACATAGCATTCATGTCACAATTATCTAAAATCAATAAATGATTTTATATAACTATGACAGTATCAACTATCGAGTCAGACGGCCTCCCAAGAGCACACAYCGGTCAACGTGCTATCGATACGATATCATTTATGTTAGACGTCGTGAATCCTAGCACAACGTAGTGTTACCATCCTATACCGTAGGAGTATAGCGTTTGTTAGACACTACAGCTATTTATAGCCTTCTTCTATTACCTCAGGTTTTGAAAGTCAATACATTTTTATACAAAATTAGTTGTCAATTAATTTTAATGTAATCATCAAATGAAATATTAAGCACCT